TCTCAGATGCAGTTGTAAAGTACTAATTTCTTTGACCACTCTTAAAGCCTAAAGCTTTTTGTTACGGCTAAATAAATATTTTAGCTTCTTTGGTCTTTTCCGACTAAAATGCCTGGATCTGGATAACTACAAACCAAGGAGCCTTGGTTTGTAGTTTCTTTGTCCGTGAATGTTTTGACGCTGGGCCCGGCTTTTTAAGTGTTGTTTGCAGGATGTTGTATTTTTACTCATAGCGCGATCTTCAGATTTGAGTTGTAGCTTAAACTTAAGCTACACCAAGTATGGAGAATTATGCTGTGCGTCTTTCTTCTACTGTATGCGATTCATCGACCACAATCGCGGACACCGTTCGACGTAGTGCGCTGGAGTGCGTTATTCTCTAACACCGAGTAATAGAGAAAATTGAGGTGGACTTTCTCGAAGCATTGAAATTTACTGTTTCTGTCATAAGGTCCAATGCTGTACAGCTCAGCGACAACATTTCGGATATCTGGTGGTCGATAGTACTTTTAGAGGGGAAATTGTGATCATACAGGTTTTCGATGAGGATATTTCTTCTTTGGCCATAGCAAAGACAGTAAAGATTATGCTCTTGCCAAAACTTGTTGACAAAATTTCCATGACATCTCTCCTTTGAAGAAGACTGTAAATGGCCAGTTCCTGTTCAATTGCGCTGTTTTCCCGTCAAATATTCAAGATCGACGATGCTCCGGTCAACGCTTCTTTGATATTTTGATTTTGTTTTGCGGAGATGACTCTCCCATGGGAGATTACCAAAATATTTTGATTGACGGGCGAACATTCTGAACCAATCGGAACGATCCGTACGCTGGCGTACGTACCGACTCAAAAAAGCCCCCCGTCCGTGCAGGCGGTTTTTCAAGTTGCTCCCGCCCCAATCTCCTCGCGGTTTCTCTGCCCTCGCCTGCCTTTATTACTTAGCGCGCCCAACCAAAACCGCCATGCTACGCAGGCTAGACCTGAGGGGAAACGAAAATTAGTTCGAGTTAGCGGGAGTTCGAGTTATCGAGGGTTCGAGTTACCGAGGGTAAAATTACAGTGATTGTATGACGGAAATCGAGGGGAAATCGATTTTGGTTCGAGTTAGCTCGAGGTTCGAGTTAGCGAGGGTTCGAGTTATCGGGAGTCGACTGCAATAACGTGCATATGTCAATTCAACGGCCTAGGTTTATTACAATTGCTCAAATGGAGGATATAGTTTTGAGGAGCTTACTAACTCGTTTTATTTCGACATGCTTTGCCAAATCAGCCTTAAGTTACATGACTAGCAAAAGGAATATATAAAAAATACAAGTTAAAATGAACACAGTAAATTATAATGAACAACTAACTAACATTGCAATTGATCAAAAGAACGTAAAAAAACCAATGCAAAAACCGTGTACGAACAATCTTGCTCAACGTCGGATCCAAAAAGATCGTGATCACTGAGTCAAAATAGATAAAATTGAAAACGTTACAGTCAAGAAGACTTGACAGGGACTGATCAAACATTGTGAAATAGAGTTAAGTTGCGATATTTCGACTGGCCAATACCAGTGGCTTCATCAGGTTTATTGAAATATCACGAATTTACAGAAATATATATGAAGTAAAATAATGACCGGAAATTACATAATATGACGTGGGTATGGTGTGGCTAATTAAAAAGACAAGATAACAAAAACATAAAAGATATAATATATATAGTTACAGTTCATCACATTTATTGATGCCCAGAGGCTCAATTGTCTCAGCTTTATGGATAAGGTGGGCTTCACGTGCTTTCCTGAAAAAATCACGCCCATTTTTAAGTTTTTCAATAGGAATCAAAAGCATATGATTGTCGGTAAGAAAGTGTTCTGAAACTGCAGTATGGATGTAACTACCAGTAGGGTTGAGTATAGGTCGTCTGTGTTCATTAAAACGGTCTTTGAGGCGACGTTTAGTTTCTCCCATATATTGTAGATTACACAGACGACATTGAATCAAATAGATAACATTAAGAGTTTCACAAGTGATGTGAGATTTGATGTGGTGGGTCTCACATGTAGAATGAAAAGTCTATTGATTACCGCCATGTTCAATATAGGGACAGGTGGTGCAATTCCTGTTGTTGCACCGACACCAGTAACTCACGACCCACCCCCGGTTCCTTTCGGTGCAACAACAGGAATTGTACCACCTGTCCCTATATTGAACATGGCCGTAATCAATCAGTTTGTGGGGGAGGGATGAAAAACGAGCTCCCCTAAAAGCGCCTGCGTGGGAGGCTAGTACAAAGGATGCTCTATGAAAACTAACACATTATTTTGTGCCAAAAATGTCTGTTTAACATTCTCCCTGCACAGTTTGGCTTTGTTGATGGCTTTGTGTTGTTGGAAATAACCTTAAATGAAAGTTACATCTCAACCAATTTTTAAAGCTTCAGGTGGCATCAGTCGCTTACTTGAGTTATAGGGAACATTTTCATTTACAATAAGCTCGATGCCTTAATTTACAACCAACCAACAACCAATCAACTAAAAGAGTTTGTTTAAATAGTACATGATTGTAGGGTGTGTCCAAAGAACTTCTTCCAATAGGCTGCTTAAGATATCTTGTTTAGTAACTGGTCCAGTCGACTCCCGATAACTAAAACCTTCAAGGAAAATCGAAAAAAGTTCGAGTTATCGGGAGTGCGAAGCAAATAACTGTAAAGGAGGAAATGGGAAAGGGGAATGAATGCAAGTAACATGCACACTTCAAAGCTTGATAGATACACTGTGCTGGCCGGGCAATGTATTTAAACTGAACTGACATAGAATAGATGGTTGTAAAAATAATTTCAATGTTTCGGACTGTATAAAGTACACATTTTTTTCTAGTTTTCAGGCGCTTAAAGCATTGTTCGAGTTATCGAGGGTAGATTTATATAGGAATGATCTCAAGTGAAGGGAAACAAAAATTAATTCGAGTTAGGGGGAGGTTTGAATTATCGATAGCGTTCAAGTTACTAAATAAATGATTTTGACAAGGAAGAGTTGGCTTTTAAAGGAAATACTTTTAGGACCTTTTAAGCCTTGAATTTTATGGTTAATAGTTTTGCTAATTTCTTTAATGATTTTGACATTTCTATGTTAGTTTGAAAATAGTCGGCAAGCACGATTTTACAACACAAAGTAGCCCAACTTACATGAAATCTTGCTAAGTCATATAAGTTCATTCGAGAACTAACACCGAAGGTTCGCAATTCAAACTGAAACTAGCCAAACAAGGGTTTTTTGTCCTCTCGACGATGTATACGTACATGTTCCTCCATTTTTTTTTCTTTCAAAAAATGTATTAAACATGTGACTAAATGAACTACGGAACTATTTTCTGACTTAAAGTGTAGCCGAATTAATTGCTTCACTATAACCGGCCATAGTGTTCAGTTCATACTCTCCTCCGCTACCTTCTTTTCGTTTGTGACATGGAAAAACGCGAACTAGGCGGTCGATTGGACCGGGCAGGCTTTCAATTTCATTACTTACATAATGGATTCATTATTTTTTTTTCATGGTAATTTATGAAGTCTTCCTTTTTTTGTGTACTCCAGCTGCTTACCTGAGCGGCAGTTGAGTCACCTGTCGTCGGCCATCCAGTAAATGTTATCGAAAATAGATAGGTTTTCACTTTCTTCCTCATTACCTCAATGAAGTTGATGGTCACTAATTAGCTTCTAAAGCAGGGTCTGTTTTTAGTTTTAAATTTATTATTCTCAAATTTTCCCTGTTATCAAAAACGTAATCAGTTGTGTTTATAGCTTACAATTTTTCGCGGAGAGAGAGAAAATATGTGAAAGGACCGTTTCCATGGTAACGTTTTTTAACGTAAAATCCTAACCGTAAAACAGCCAATCAGAGTGCTCTATCAAGACTTGCAAATTAATGCCTGAAAAGTATTTCAAATATCGCAGGTTGACGACTAATATAATAAGCGGAGGATCCAAGCACGGGCTGAAATTTTTGACACCTATCAACTTGGCATCATCCGGTTTTTTCAAGAACTCTCGCCAACATCACAGCTCGAGAAAACACGACGGGGAAACGTACAGGTAATTATCAGGACTATCAGGTTTACCATGAACAACAGTTCTGAACTCAACTCATTAACCGCTGCGGGTTCCAACACGTTCTTTCCCCCCACCTTCGTGTATCCAGTGGCGACGTGTCACATCTTAATTGTCGCTGTGGCAGTCCTTGGAAACCTCATAGTTTGTTATGCAATTTTATAAAATAACTAAGATAGTACGCGCGCTCTGATTGGCCGAGAGCAGTGTTTGCATGAGAGTATGTAAACATGGTTTTGGCGTCAAGTTGTTTGGCTTTTGGCGCGCTAATCACGCAAGCACAAATTTGAAAAACTTTTCGAGTTCAAAACTCAAAAAGCTTACTTTATTTACCCATTCCTTCGTCGGCTGAAACTTGGAAAATCGTTACAAAGAAGGTGTGTACATTTTTCTTCGCTTAAGCTGACCGTTTTAAGCGAGAAAAATCCGTATTTTGCAAAGCATCTTTTTGCAAAACAAGAACTGATTACGCGTGCAAGACTTCGTGGACAAGATTTTGCGACTGGTAAGAATTTCTCTTTTAATCAGTGCCATACAAAGAGTTTTGCGTTTTTTTCTCGGGAAAGTTATTTTATAAAAGCAATAGAAAACTTTTTTCCTGTGTTTGCATTGCCTGATATAAACACACGAGGCGTTGGGAGAATTCTCGACAGTTATGCAAACCCTCGACTTCGTCTCGAGTTTGCATCACTGTCTCGAATTCTCCCAACCCCTCTCGTGTTTATATCAGGCCATGCAAACACGGAAAACGTTTTCTATTGCTTAAATCGTTAACAAAAGTCTCCGAAGCAGCCCAACAAATTTGTTCATTTTCTCGTTGGCGTTCTCGGATCTTCTTACTGTAACATTAGCAGTGCCATTTGACATAGAAGGCCTTTTCCTTAACTGGGCTTGGAAGTATGGAGAAATGATGTGCCAGGCGTGGATTACCGTTTACCTTATCACTGTTCCCGCGTCCATTTTGACCCTTTTGGCCGTGAGCGTGGATCGTTACAAGAGTCTTAAGGATCCCTTGAATCGATTTCGCCGCTTCCGATTTATGACACGAAAGAGAGCTTTAATTATTATTTCTGTCATCTGGCTTTACAGCTTGGTTTTTGCTTTATTTCCCGTCTTGGGCTGAAGAAAATATGACGAGTTTGTTTATGAGGGAATCTGTTACTTTCCTTTTCATGAAATTTATTCCAGTCTCAGCTCTTGCCTAAATTTCATCAGTCCACTACTGGTAACGTGCGGTATCTATGTTAAGATTTACCTCATAGCGAGGTCTCAAAGCAGCACTTTTGATAAAGAGATCTCACGACAAATGCGTACGACGGAAGCCTGTTCACGACAAACGTGTTCTACTGAAGAAAAGAAAATCTATTTAAGGAACATTCGAGCGGCCAAGACTATCTCCATCTTTGTAGCCGTGTTTTTCTTCTGCTGGGTTCCTCACTCTTCCATTTGCATCACTGCCAGTCTCTGTCAATCATGTCAAGCTAAAATCCCCGATGAAGTTCGAGCTATATTTGTGATGTTTGGTTACCTCAACTCTGCCCTCAACCCATTTCTTTCCGCTTTTCGAAACAGAAGATTTAAGAAGCAATGCAGAAAGAAACCACCCGCCCAAAATAACCAAAAGGAGCTGAAAACATGAAACCGGTTCTCTCTAATGGAAGCACCTTAATCGCCTTTAGTTAACAGCTTGTTACAACCATACCATCAAGAAACACAGTATGCAGGTTGGATGTACTCTGGTTAAATTAAGTTTGGAAACTGTGGGTTAAATTCATGCCCATCGTGATTTGTACACTACTGAGTCCCTGATGGTTGACTTGTTGCCTTTTTAATGCTCAACGAAGCAGGTCTTTTTAATGGACAAAATCTTCTTTTCCGAGCACTCTCCTACCGCACATGGGATTGTACGACACTTTCTTACGTTTCACTAACTAGCCTCATAAGACCACATAATATGGTCTACAGCATAATTCCTTTAACAGCACAAAAATATCATGCAGAAATTCACTTGCAAGCCCGCTTAGCTTCAATTTTTTTATTTGCAAAAAATTGGTCGTAGCTAGTGGAGGGGCAAGGGGGCAGATGCCTCCACGCCCCCCGTCTTTTTCTGAAGTGTTGAGTGGAAAACCTTAAATTTGTTGAAATCTTTGCGAAGTTTACAAAGATAGTCACATTTCGAAACATTCGTTCAAGACAATAGAACAGATAAGTTTTGAAAAAACCCTGTGGTTGCGGATTGAAGTGATGGCTCAGGCTGTTAGAAACACTCTAACGAAAACCACGTACTGCCAACATACAGCGAGACTGTTGAATATTTTCGAATCCCCAAATGCTCCCCAAATTTTGTATTAATTTATTGTCTTCTAAATGCACTTGGGAAATGGCAGTATTCCCAGGAGCATTTGAAAACAATTGTTTTGTGCAAAATTTTGGGAGCAAACAGTGTATTATAGGGGTTTCGAAAAAACCAGAATAAGTGACCGTGTTCTTTCCATTTGTTTATCATGTGGTCCAATAAGTCGCGCCAGATTCAGTACGGTACTGTGGCGTAGACGTGAATAGCGGTTACTTATTCTAGTTGTTGATTTTACTTCTTTGAACTCCAGTCCATATTTTCTTAATTTGTTTTTCAGGACTACCGTGTACCCTCGTCTCATATATATAGCGTAAAGGTGAATGTGTGAAGGAACTTCCCCCCTGCAAAATGTAAATACTTCCACCTGTCACTAGACAGGAGAACGTGGTACTCATTAAGGTTACCTGTGAAACAAAAGCTTTCGTTTAGAACGCGACTGAAGTATGTCGATTAGCCTTTTCCAGGCGTTCAGATTGTGGGGGCGACCCTCAGAGAGATGCGGGTAGGAAAAAGGGCGAGAGGGTGGGGGGTAGGGAGCAATGCGTATTTTTCCAGACCCACTCTACTACCAAGAAGGCCAACTATTGGGAAACGAATAAAGAAGGGCCGGCCGAGACTGTTAATACGAAGGTTAGTGAAAAAGTAAACTTAATCATCTGCTTAACCTGTTTCCGATCCGTTTTCTTGTTGATAAAGTAAACGTAAAAAAACTAAACAGAAAAATTGTCATTTGTAGGATCATGAAGAACTTTTTACTATCACAGTACCTGAAAGCAGCCGCTGTCACGCAACTGCGAATTCAGCGTCAATATGCAAATTTGAGTCAAATCCCTCAATTCTGGATCGCGATGTGCCGCAAATTTTATTGCATAACATGACAAAATAGTCTACGATTTGATGACCCGAAGTACTTTTAAACGATCGTTGAAAACCTGTGAAACAGCACCTAAAATTTGCGTATTTTAGCCGCTAACGGTCGTCCAACAATGAAATGCTGGGAATGCCAGTAAAATAAACAATTTCCTCATTCTAACTGTAATTTTGTTATTAG